CGTATATTTTCATATAAAAAATGTTTAATTTATATTCAAATTTATAAAGAAGAGAGAAAATAAAAAATAATGATACAACTAGAAAAGTTCTGTTTTTCTGCGGATTTTGACAAACATTCCGCAGAAAACTTGTTACCTGCGATTCTTCCTGCTATTTATTGTTTTCAGCTAAAATTTCCGTGGGTAATTAATTTAGCAGGTAAAGTCGTAGGAAACTGTTAAAGGAGAACGTCGCAGGCTTAACTCGCAGGTAATACCGCACGTAATTCCGCACGTAATACCGCACGTAACACCGCACGTAATACCGCAGGTAAAGCCGCAGATAATTTAAACATTTGCAGGAAAAGTCAGAGCAAATTGAAAATCCGCTGGTCAATTCACAGGTAATTTATCTCATGTTTTTAATTTATTTAATTCATATTTAAAATAATATAATTAATGTTAAATATCAAAGTAACAATAATTCAATTAATATCAGAACTTCGGTTTGGATATATATTATTACTATTAATAATTTTTGATATGTACAGCTTCTGTCTCACCATAATTTTCAATTTTTCCAAACAAACAATGAACAAAACAGAAGAAGCAACTATGAAACACCACCAATACATTAGTGAACAAATCACAAAAACAGAATCAACATGTTTTCTTTAATTATGAGATTTATACAACGATAATTATGAGCCTCGAATTTATATTTTCCACTGGAGCTTTGAGCAAAACTAGCAGGTAGCGACTACAACGTTACTACCACAAGAGGTTTTCTGTGTGCAAATATGCTATACAGGAAACTTCTTGGAATGTTTTCAAAAAAACATAAAACAAATCCAAAAAACTAACTGTATATTATATATAGTTATAGCTGAGTATGTTCTCTTCTATACACTATATATGGCTTTTTATGGGACTTGACTTCCAAACCACAAGCGACTTCAGAAATTCCATCACCTGCAAAAACAATATCATCGTAAATACGACAAGTCATGATAGCGCAGTAATCGTAAATATGTACAAACTCAGTTTGAATGCGAGTTACCTTGGACGGATCACGAAGAGAGTAAAATGCATTGCTTTCCTTTGGTGCAGAAGAGACTAAAATCCCGTAACCTTTATTTCCCTCTCTCAAAACCTGTTACAGTTTTCTCGTAATCAGTAAAAGTTAAACTAGAAGCAAACAAGTGGAAGCCACAACCTCGGCTTGCTACACGCTTGATATTATTACCTAAAATGCATCTTCATCCGTTCGATCATCGCCAATATATATAGGAAGCACATCGTCACAATTGTTAAGTCCTGAAAACAATATTTCTCATGTCATTTACTGCACAAAACAAGGAGCTCTGGAAAAACAAACCGCATACTAAAGAAATGGAAAATGAACTCACCAAGTGACTTGAGTAAAAACGTGACGGCTTTTCCCTTATCCCAGTTAATCACAGGCCGGACCTCTAAAACCTACACAAGATAAAACTAACTTTTAGAAGTACTGCAATGTGAAACAGCGCAGGAGCATTTAGTTGTAAATTAAAGTATTAAACTTGCATCTTGTAATCTTGTATGATATGCTATTTTACTTTCTTGAATGTCATTTTCAAGTATCAAGTGTATAATGATTAGACCAGCCTGTTTCCTGTTGAACTGTCTGTGTTTCTCACCTCTGTTCATCAATGGACTTGGATTCCCATTTGTTTTCTATTTTACACGCCAAACATAATTATCATCATACTCAATAATTTTTTCGGCCAATACAAACTACATAGTTTATATTATCTTATTGTCTATTTAAAAGTACCACATCATTTAGAATAATTCACATATTTGGTATAAGATTAGCCTTTGACAGAATGTCTACATATTTTTCTCATTGAATGCTCAATGGCAATTCACATATTTGGTGTCTGATATGACTTTTAGCTTAATTAACTTTACTATGTACACACATTGCATATCCAATTTTTTCTCATAACTTGGTTTTTAAAACTGTATGAAAGCATCAGTGGTAACTTGTCTTCGACCTTGACGTCTGTGGTTAAAACTGATAAGTGATAACAGACGCCAATGGCTCTAAAAAGTTGTTTGAATCTAGGTGATTGTTATCTACAAGTCATGTAAATGTTTAAAAATTTATCTAAATCAAATTGCAATTAAATTTTCATCATCGTCATTGGAATCCTCTTCGTCTTCATTTTCTTGTATTGTTGACAAACTAACCTCTTCACCATCAACTTCATCATCTTGTAGGAGATCAATTGGGTCATCTTCAATTGTTGCATTAACTTGTGACTCTTGAACTTGAAAAGCAACCTCTAATGTGTGCCTATCATCAACAACCCCTCTTGGCTTTGTCTTTATAGTTACCAACCAATCAACCTTATCTCTTGGGCGCCCAGGATAAGGTGAATAATAAACTTGAGTTGCAGCTTTTGGAAAAATAAAAGGATCAAATTTACTATATTTTCTCCCCTTACGAACTTCTACAATCTTGTACTGACGATGTATTCGCATCCCATGTCTTGAAGGGTCAAACCAATCACAGTAAAATAAAACCAACTTTTTTGTTGTTTGACTTGGCCATTGAAATTCTAGAATTTCTGTAAGAATGCCATAATAGTCTTTTGAAGTTTCATCTTGTCCTATTCCACTAACACACCCCACTGTTATAGGTTGTCTTTCCTTCACCTCAAGAAGTTGTGTGAAATTTGTATCCATTTGCAAAATAAATAGGCCAAAATTTCACTAGTCTCAAAGGCCCCCTTGCCAAATCATACAAGTCAGAATTTTGTCTCTTATGTTTGATATTCATCGTCACCTAGCCAAATAAATCAATTCATACATCTTAGTTTAAAAGCAAATTCTACATCTTTATTCTAGCCCAAATATTCTAGAATTGAAAAACAACCTATAACAGTGGTGTGTGTTAGTGGAATAGGACGAAGAAATCACGGAGAATTAAACCAGACCAGATCCGATCAGAACTGCAAAAGCAATTGATCTAACTGCACGATAAGATTAAAAATGATACATCTATAGATGCGGTAACATAATTTTAATAACAAAATATTCTTCCTCAACACCTCAAAATCATTAAAATCATTAAAATGGTTGTGTATATGTTCTTGTATAACCTTAAGGGCGATTCATAAAGTAGGGGGAAAGGTTGTAATCACATGTTCAGAAAATCAGTATTTTCTTCATTATTTACCTACAATTGACTAACTACTTCTCTCATATCTATTTAAGTATTTTCATCAAAATTTAAAATTTTAAAACCCAAACCTCATTTTCTTCTCATGTAATATAAAATCTGTTATGATTTAACTAACTACTAATGAACAATTAGTTTTAATTAACATTTTCAAACTAACCGTAACAGTTAAACACATGCTAACTTTCTTCTTAACTAGATTTTTTCAAGCATAATAACTAATGCTATATTTTCATTACTGGATTTTTATACTTTAGTTGCCTTGATTACAAAAGTTGAGAATGATATATTTTCATTACTGAGTTTTTATATTTCTATATCAATTTTTATAAGCATACTTACATCTGTTGGGTGCCAAAAAAGTAAACAACCACTTTCTTCCAATCAGTGGAGTAACCCCACTTCTCCGGCTCACTGACCTGCCAGAAGAATTGAACTTGAACGGTCAAATGAAGTATCAACAAACCAAGAAAATAAAAAATAATAACCACTTTCTTCCAATCAGGTTTTCCAGGGCTCAAACCCGGATCACCATATTTCTCCATCCCTACAAGTGTTTATTTGAGCAAAAAAAGTCAACTGTTAGAGGAAAAATCATCTCGGAACATTTCCAGTTCAACCATGATTACAGAGTTACAAACACACTTATGGTGCGTCAAATTGGAAGTTGAAGGATGAGACGGAAAAATATTGAAATTGAAGATATAAAAACTACATTAGGGAGTAAATCCGTGTTTTTCCACATTAAAAACTTAAGATTATTGACCTTCAGTTTAAGTATTACCTACCAATCATAGAGTTATCTATTCATCTTTAATTTCCCAGGAGGAGTTGGATAGTGATGGGAAACTCCAAGCAGGGGTCTCATCCTATTGTCACTATTTTCTGCCTTATCCATAAGGAACAAGAAGTTTCCTTCTCTAAATAAAATCCTCTTTGAATTTTAGTAGTAATTAGGAATGATTAACAGGAAAAAAGTAAAATTTATGAATAAGAAATTGAGTCTAAGACTACGATCCACAAAAATAACGAACAATTACAGACACACAAAGAATCAATAATTTTGAAGTCCACCAACATGCAAAACAGATGCAAGTTTTAAAAAAATAGAGAAAGACATAAACTTTAAACTTGGTATTCTAGTTCCACTTTCAAATTCCAACCAATTCATATAACAACTTTTTTTCTAACCAATGTCGTGTTACACTTGACAGTTCCATTTTCAATTCCAATAGTATTCAATTCAAAGCATGAAATAATTAACCAACTGTTCTAACAACTAATCCTAATTCTAACTGTTATGATTTAACTAACTACTAATTAACAATTAATTTTAATTAACATTTTCTAACTAACCGTACAAACATACTGCAAACAACTCTTACAAATGAGAAGTAACACTGCCAAGTAAACAGAACCTCTGACTCAGGAGACAAATGAAGTTTTGTTAAAGTTGTGCATTTCATCAAACAGCTATAAGTCATACAAAAAAAACCCTGATGCCAAGCAAATCAATAGCTAAGAAATCCAAACTGTTAGGCAAATCATAACAAGTTCTGATTGGTGTCAGCCAAAAGATCTAACCATATGAAATATAATGAGGCATAGAGCAAAATAGAGCACATGCTTTTTTCAACAGGGTGGGTTTAATACATAAAAACGAACCTGTTTGTTAGTGTTCTCATTTCAATACAAACCATAATTCATTTCATATCATCGTAGCATAACATAAGCATATCATAAACTATATACTAAAATTAAATTCCATATTTCCCCAATAACAACCACCACAATGAGTAGCATTAAGTTTTTAAAAGCTACAACCGTTACAGTACTAATATTAATACTATCACTCACAGCCACCGCTCATTCGTATCCACCGTCAGACAGGGTGGCGCTACTAGCCTTCAGAGCAGCTTTCCACGATCCCTACCTCAGCATCTTCAACTCATGGACCGACACCGATTGGGAGTCATGGGTGGTCGGAAAGAGGTGAAGGAATGAGTAGCGGCGGCGGTAGGGTCCAATTTTCAAGCCCATATTCAAAGTAAACTCAAAATAAAAAATTTTCATTTATTTCTCAAACTCAATTTAAAATATCAAATAAATATCTTAAATAAAATAAAATAATTTAAAGGAAAATAATAATAAAACTAAAATACTTTTCATATTTATTAAATTTTGTTTCTACTAAAATACAAAATAAAATAAATTATTTTAACTAAATATAGGTGTTTCTACTAAATATATATATAAATATATATATATATATATATATATATATATATATATATATATATATATATATATATATATATATATATATATATATATATATATATATATATATATATATATATATATATAAGAGTAAAATTAATTTATAAATTTAAATTTTCTTTATAAAATTTAATATTTTAACTAGAGATCAAAAATATAACTTCCTTTAGCACGTTATAATTAAAGTAGAGTTTCTAAAATTAAAATTTTATAATAATTAACAAGAGATTAAATATATTTTGTTATAACACAAAATGTATATTAAATCAATGAGATTAAATTTAAATTTAAAAATAATTCTAAAATATATCCTTAAAGTTAATGTATCAAAATGGAATAAGTGTTCTTTTTTTTTTTGGAAAAAATTAATACACAACACCTTTTAATATTTTTAAAAAAAATATTTAAAATTTTCATTTTTTTAAAAGAAATATTTAAATATTTTAACAAAGTGTGGAGGTTGTGTGGATCGGAGATTTTTCATTCGTGCATGGTTTTATGAAGCGACCTACTCCCGTGGTCTTGAAAATGTGCACTTTAATATACCTAATCATATTCCACCTTTTAAAAAAATTAATTTTTTTGATTTTCACAACAATACAAAAAATATTAAATAAATAAATTTTCTTTGAAAAATATCTAAAAACCCAATTAATAAAGTAATTTTTAAAAAATATAAGATTTAATATAAGGGAAATGCTAACTGTTAAATATAATTCATTATGATTTGATATGATCAGATTTGATATCATATGATTAGATTTGATATCATATGATTAATTTGATATGATATGATTAGATATCATATGATTAGATTTGATATCATATGATTAGATTTGATGTAGAATTCAAAGCAAGGCACCCTATTTATAGTTTTAGGTTTATACTAGCCCAAAACATAAAAGGCCCAAAATATTCTAAATCAAATCTAATCATATGATATCAAATCTAATCATATGATATCTAATCATATCATATCAAATTAATCATATGATATCAAATCTAATCATATGATATCAAATCTGATCATATCAAATCACAATGAATTATATTTAACACACCACCTAATTCATTGTGTCTAAACTGTCTACATTCATCATGGCCCTTAGTCTTCTGAAGGCTTCGACCTGCACTTCCTTCGTCATGATATCTGCAATCTGATTCTCAGTTCTGCAGTGTTCTAACTTCATCTTCCCTTCTGCTACCCGCTCTCGGAGATAATGGAACCTCATTTCGATGTGCTTGCTTCGACCATGAGCTATTGGATTCTTTGCCAAGTTGATAGCTGACATGCTGTCTATCTTCATGGTAATTTCTCCATGGTTCTTCCCTGTGATTTCTTCGACCAAGTTCACCATCCAAGTTGCTTGACATGCACAAAGGGAAGCAGCTATATATTCTGCTTCGCATGATGATAATGCCACCACTGGTTCCTTTCTCGAATTCCAAGCAACTGGTGCACCACCTAACATAAACACATATCCAGCTGTGGATTTTCGATCCTCAGCATCACTACACCAACTGGAGTCTGTGTATCCCGCTAACTTGCATTCTTTTCCTTTATCAGCTGCTGGAAACAAAATGCCATAGTCGAGAGTTCCTTTTAGATACCTCAGTATCCTCTTCGCCGCTGCTAGGTGTGATACCTTTGGTTTCTGCATGAATCTACTTATCATACCAACACTGTATGCTAAGTTAGGCCTTGTGTGGCAAAGGTATCTAAGTGACCCAATAAGTCTTCTGTATTAGGTTAGGTCGACATCATCTTTATCTGAATCCTTCGACAGTTGCAATCTGGGCTCAGCTGGAGTCGAAGTTTAGTTGCAATCTTGCATCTCAAATCTCTTGAGTATCTCGCCTGCATATCTTCTTTGGTGCATCATCAAACCTCTACTTGTCTTGTAGAATTCGATGCCAAGGAAATATGAGAGATTTTCCAAGTCTGACATTTCAAACTCCTTACTCAGGTCATGTTTGAAATCTTCGATCTTCTTCTTGGAACTCCCTGTTATCAACAAATCATCAACATAGAGACATAGTATAAGCAATTCGCCATTGCTTCTTCTTACATATACTCCATGCTCAGTTGTACACTTCACAAATTCTTTCTCCCTTAAGAAGCTGTCAATTTTCTTATTCCAAGCTCTTGGAGCTTGCTTAAGTCCATACAGGGCTTTATGAAGCTTGTACACCTTTCTTTCTTCGCCTTGTTTCACAAACCCAACTGGTTGTGCAACATAAACTTCTTCTTCTAAGGGGCCATTAAGGAATGCACACTTCACTTCCATCTGACATGTGTGCCAGTTGTTCATATTTGCTAGACCAACAACCAACCTGATTATTTTGATTCTAGCAACAGGTGCGAATACTTCATCGAAGTCGATTCCTTCCTTCTGAAGAAATCCTTTCGCCACAAGTCTCGCTTTGTGTCGAGTTACTTCTCCTTTAGGATTTACCTTCACCTTGTAAACCCACCTCACATCAATTGCCTTCTTGCCTTGTGGCAATTCGACAAGTGACCAGGTATCATTGACTTTGATGGACTCTAACTCTTCAATCATTACTTTCACCCACTTCGAATCTTTCAATGCCTCAGCTGCATTGACTGGTTCGACATCTGCGTAGAAAGCATAACGTACCAGCTCACCCTCTTCATCAACTACATCATCTGATGTGATTACACATTCTTGCAACCTTGCAGGCATGTGTCTAGTTCGTCGAGGTCTGCTTGAACCTGCTTCATCTGCAACTGGTTCCTGTCGAACTTCTATTTCGACTTCAGTGGCTGCAGTTGCTAAACACTTGTGCTCCATCACATTGAGTCCAATCTTGAAGGTCCTATTCTGAGACATTGGAGCCTTCAAGATTAGTCTACCACCTGCGTCGAAGACTCTCATCATCTTGTCTTCGACAACTACCTTGTAGTTCTTTTTGACAAGCTGCCCTATACTGAGCAAATTACTCTTCATGCCTGGTATGTACAACACATTGGAAATTGTTGACCTTTTGCCATCTTTCCTCATAATCAAAACATCACCAACACCTTCAGCTGCTAGAGTGTTGTCATTTGCAAACTTCACCGTATTCTTCGACGAGGGCTCCATGTTGACAAACCAACCTTTCCTTCCAGTCATGTGTGATGAGCATCCTGAGTCCAAGTACCACTGATCTTGGAATCTTTCTTCATCGTTTGTTGTTCTTAATAATTACTTGTTATTACCATCATTATCATATAGTGGGGTTGTTCATCAATCTTGAGATCAAGATTGAAGGGAATTCTTCATATGGTGTGAGGTGAATTTCCAACATCTGGTATTTAGAGCTCCGATTAAGAGATTCAAGGAAGGAAGATAGTGATGGCGATGAACTATCCGAACGGCAATTTTCCGGCGACCCTGCCAATTCTCAAGAAAGACAATTATGAGAATTGGTGCAAGCAGGTTAAAGTGATTTTCTGTTATCAAGATCTCTGGGATCTTGTGAAGAACGAAGTGACACCGCTTGTGGAGAATGCAACGGAGGCGGAAAAGGCTGCGCACAAAGAATTGAAGAAGAAGGATTATAAAGCACTCTTTATAATTCATCAGTGTGTTGATCCTGATAACTTTGAAAAGGTTAGTGATGTTGATTCAGTAAAAGAAGCATGGGAGATTCTTGAAAAGTCGTTTGGAGGTGCAGAGAAGGTGAAAGAGGTGAGGTTACAAAATCACAAGAGAACCTATGAGTTGCTTCAGATGGAAGACAACGAAAGCATTACAGATTTCTTCACCAGAGTTACAAGGCTGGTGAATCAAATCAAAGTATGTGGAGAAACGCTGACGACGAAAGCAGTTGTCTCAAAGATTTTGAGATCGTTGACTCCAAAATTCGACCACGTGGTAGTTGCCATAGAAGAGTCGAAAGATCTGTCAGTGTTGACGAAGGAAGAGCTTCAAGGGACTCTTGAGTCTCATGAACAGAGGATGGCTGAGAGAGCTGCAGGAAAGTCGAAAGATATGGCTTTGCAGGCACAGACGGAAAAGGAGAGAAAAGGCAAAGGTAGCTGGAATGGCAACAAAGGAGGAAACCAGTCGAATCAAAAGAAACCTTGGAACCAAGGCAACCAAAGAGATGGTGTTGCAGGTAAAGGAAGAGGTGGTGATCGAAAGACAGACAAAATCCACATTCAATGTTTCAATTGCCAGAAGTATGGTCATTATGTTAGTGATTGTCCAGAAAAGAAGAGAAATCAAGAGACTGATGCAAAGCTGGCGAAACATGAAGAAGAAGAAACGTTGCTAATGATCACAACATAACAGATTTCACAGTTGCAGTTAGCAAGTGAAAGTTCAATAAGAAATCTCACAGTTGTGGGTAACACATTCTCTCCAAATACTTCTTCTCTCATTCTTCTCTTTCTTGTTTGTTATTCTTCTTCTCTTTTGTTGTTCTTAATAATTACTTGTTATTACCATCATTATCATATAGTGGGTTTGTTCATCAATCTTGAGATCAAGATTGAAGGAATTCTTCATAGGGTGTGAGGTGAATTTCTAACACTAACGAGTGCCCTCAGGGAATTGGTTAAGAGATTAAAATGGTAAGTTGGGCATTATTTAAGAGATTGAAAATACATTTTTTTAAATATATGTGTATTTAATGTCCTGAAAAGAGAAATAATCAGACTTTTTAAAAAATATTGTGTGTATTGAGTGAACTAAATATAACATATTTTTCTTATTTTGAATTCTTAACTAATGCCTTGAGGGCACTGGTTAGCATGACCCTTAATATAAAATTAAAAAATTAATCAAAAACATCTCTTTGGAATCAATGTGGCAATTCTGTTTTATAATTTTATTTATTAAGATTAAAAAATAACTAATTTTAAAAAAACAGTTACAAAAAATTTGCAGCAAATATAGCAGAAACGTTCCCGGCTAATTCCGCAGCAATTACTGCAAAATTTCCAAAGAATTTTGATGTTTACATGCACAACTAGTTCCTGCGAAAGAAATCGCAGGAAAGGTCTCAGGAATTTACTGTGACATTTGCTACAAATTTATTTTCGCAGGAAATAATGGTATCATCTATAACTTGCCCAAATACATTCCACAAGTTAATGATACTTTCAATTAATAAAGTTCTACCAATTCTACTTCTAGAACTATCCTCAAAATTATTCCAAGTGAAAGAGTTCCTAATTATGGGAACATCCATCAGTTCCATTGCCCCTATAAACCCATTAAAAATTTTGCATTTCTACTGACTAACTAGAAACTCCCTTACTCCTTCTTTCTTTAGGACACTTAATGGAATTGAAATCACCCTCGCTACCCATTCCATTGGATATAAATTAGATTTCAAATTCAACAATTCACTCTATAATAATCTTTTCCTAACTAATAAACATGAAAAACAGACATTGATAAAGTAACAAAGTTCACCTTTACAATCTACACCAACTCCTAATAATCCTTCGCCTCTAGAGCTGATCAATGATTTTATCAAAGCCTGAATTCTACATCGTAATGAACCTCATAATTTACCTTATGCATATTTTGTCGACCACTCGACCTCTTTGAATCCCCATAGGCTCTTTTTTATCTTATCGTTCATCTGGGACACTTGTGTCTCCTGAATAAAACAAATATATGTTTTCCCATTGTCTAGGAGTTGGATGAGTTTTATCTTCTTTAAAGAACTGACACACCCTCTGATGTTATAAGATACTAAATTAATAATGACTTTAATGACTTCAATAAATTCATCTTCCTTATGCACTTTCATTTTTTATCGTTGTCTTCCAAACTTCTTATAACTTCTTCATAAACTTTTTTCCTCTCTTTTATTGTGATCCTCATGGACTTAATTAATCTCCATAGTTTAGATATCATGTCTTTGTCCATATCTCCCTTGAACCTTTTGTTACCTTTATCGCAAATCTGAATCTGTTAGAGACTTACAAAAGAGTAAAGATCCACCTGAAAATTTGAGCGATGTTATCTTCTGAATAAATATTTAGAATGAGTCGAATGAGCGGGAGGATTCTATTTTGGTCTAGGTCTTGGAGTATTAAGTTTGAAAAGTAAGATTGATTAATTTATGCTCTATTTACACCATCTTGAGAAATAAGATTTGATTTCATTAAGATTGAGCATTCACTATTGTTTGGACTTGAGCTTATTGGGTCAGACACTTCTTGATCCAATATACCTTTCACACCCAAATTTGCAAAACCTATTTTATTTTGACTTCCAATATCATGATTTCCTATTATATTGACCTCATAATTTGAATTTTCAACTGATATAATTTGATAGTTGTGCAAGGACATCAGGTGTAAACGTGCGAGTTCGAACCCGCGACATTCTACTTGTTCACCTTTAAGGGGTGAATTCTAACCACTAGGCTGTTTGACCAAAAAAATTGAATCTGATCAAGTCAAAAACGAGAAACATCAAATACTGAAGATTTAATATTATTATTAGAACTTAGAAATAACATTAACTAGATACAACATCCATAAACTCATAATCATTTCCTATTGCCTCCAAATTTTCAAAAGGAAGACAAACTTTAAGATTCATACTACCTTCTTCAACACCTGCGCGCACAAAAATCTTCCCATTTCTTTTATTTGCACCCCCAGTTCGAACCCCCACCGGTTTTCCCCAACCAAAATCATTCCCATAAACATCAAACCAAGGTGAACTACTAATCACCAATGAATTATCATCAGGTGTAAAAACAAAACTTGGTATTATTAACCAATTTTCATAGTGATTTTTCAACATCTCATCATTGTGTAAAGCAATTTTCTGGTTAATCTCCCAAGCACCTTTACCAAGCCCTCCATCTTTCAATAATTCACCAGCTTTTATGGTAACCACACACTTTATCACAGCATTACCAAAATAATTCTTTTGCAATGGAGGATTAAGCCTTGGTCTAACGCCTATATCCAACACAAAACTCACTTTTGTTTGTGGCTCGTGGTTTTTGGAACGGATAATAGAGCGCCAAATATGAGCGTAAATCGCTTGCAAAGAAGATATCTTCTTTGTACCAGCTTCTAAATTGGCTTTGGATTTTAGTTTTGCAATATTCTCTTTTGAGAAATGAAATAATCTCTCAAACTTCGGCATGTGGAGTTTTTCTTCTACGTCATTTTGATTATGAGAGACATTATCTCGTAGTTCTACAGGAAAATGAAATCGAATTGGACGTTGAATACCATTTGGAAACCATCGTTCGAAAGATGGAATTTTGGAAATTTCAAAATTACCTTTTGAGATTTCGGCCCATGAATTGATGAAATGCCAAACCAAAGTACCATCGACGACCACATGATTAATTGAGCAGGCAATAACGATGCCATCGGCTAATTCTGTTACTTGGACCGCAAGTAATGGTTGTGACGTCCCTTGATAGTTTTTAAATTCATTAAGTGGAAAAAATGAATTGAAAATAGAAGGAAGATAAATTGGTTTAAGAATGTCGTCGACACAAATATCTGTCTTTGTAGCATGGACAAAGAGTGCACCTTCGTTGTTGCACTTAATAGAACAAGAGATAGTGTTATCTTTATGTTTGGTGATATCAAGACGATCCGTAAAAGGTGGAAAAATTCAAGAGCATAAGAAAGAGATTGTTTAAGGTGTTGGATTTGATTTCTTGTATCTAATTGAGAAGTGTGATGATAAAGAAGACCGATTTGACTGTATCCAAATCGGAGATATTGAAGATCCCATGGTGTTAGATCGATTGTACGAACTTTTGAACCATAAATATTGTGATTTGGTGCATGAATTATGGTGGTAGAAAGAACTTGGACGGAATTCATGTTATGTTAACGGAAGAAATTAGGATTAGCTGTGATGTAGTTTTACTAATTAGGTGCGACGCCTATTTATAAAAGAGAATGCCTAAAATGACGAAAAGGACCCATCATTGTTTTATAGTTAACCCGACCCATGATTCCGCTCAAAGGTGATAGAAATTACTCGGGTTCTACTCTTTTTTCACCTAAAGTTCATACTCAGTTTCACACTTTTTACAAAATGGAGAAAATTCAAAATATAAAAGATGTTAAATTATAATATTTGTCTCTAATTTTATTGGATTAACAAAATTAATCCGACTGTTTTAAATTTAATATTTTGATCTCTCTCGTATATTTTCATATAAAAAATGTTTAATTTATATTCAAATTTATAAAGAAGAGAGAAAATAAAAAATAATGATACAACTAGAAAAGTTCTGTTTTCCTGCAGATTTTTCTGCGGATTTTGACAAACATTCCGCAGAAAACTTGTTACCTGCGATTCTTCCTGCTATTTATTGTTTTCAGCTAAAATTTCCGTGGATAATTAATTTAGCAGGTAAAGTCGTAGGAAACTGTTAAAGGAAAACGTCGCAGGCTTAACTCGCAGGTAATACCGCACGTAATACCGCAGGTAAAGCCGCAGATAATTTAAACATTTGCGGGAAAAGTCAGAGCAAATTGAAAATCCGCTGGTCAATTCACAGGTAATTTATCTCATGTTTTTAATTTATTTAATTCATATTTAAAATAATATAATTAATGTTAACAAACTAATTATTTAATGTTGGAATCCTCTTCGTCTTCATTTTCTTGTATTGTTGACAAACTAACCTCTTCACCATCAACTTCATCGTCTTGTAGGAGATCAATTGGGTCATCTTCAATTGTTGCATTAACTTGTGACTCTTGAACTTGAAAAACAACCTCTAATGTGTGCCTATCATCAACAACCCCTCTTGGCTTTGTCTTTATAGCTACCAACCAATCAACCTTATCTCTTGGGCGTCCAGGATAAGGTGAATAATAAACTTGAGTTGCAGCTTTTGAAAAAATAAAAGGATCAAATTTATTATATTTTCTCCCCTTACGAACTTCTACAATCTTGTACTGACGATGTATTCGCATCCCATGTCTTGAAGGGTCAAATCAATCACAATAAAATAAAACCAACTTTTTTGTTGTTTGACTTGGCCATTGAAATTCTAGAATTTCGGTAAGAATGCCATAATAGTCATTTGAAGTTTCATCTTGTCCTGTTCCACTAACACACGCCCCACTGTGATAGGTTGTTTAAATTTGTATCCATTTGCAAAATAAATAGGCCAAAATTTCGCTAGTCTCAAAGGCCCCTGTGCCAAATCATACAAGTCAGAATTTTGTCTCTTATGTTTGCAATTCATCGTCACCTAGCCAAATAAATCAATTCATACATCTTAGTTTAAAAGCAAATTCTACATCTTTATTCTAGCCCAAATATTCTAGAATTGAAAAACAACCTATAACAGTGGGGTGTGTGTTAGTGGAATAGGACGAAGAAATCACAGAGAATTAAGCCGGACCAGATCCGATCAGAACTGCAAAAGCAATTGATCTAACTGCACGATAAGATTAAAAATGATACATCTATAGATGCGGTAACATAATTTTAATAACAAAATATTCTTCCTCAACACCTCAAAATCATTAAAATCATTAAAATGGTTGTGTATATGTTCTTGTATAACCTTAAGGGCGATTCATAAAGTAGGGGGAAAGGTTGTAATCACATGTTCAGAAAATCAGTATTTTCTTCATTATTTACCTACAATTGACTAACTACTTCTCTCATATCTATTTAAGTATTTTCATCAAAATTTAAAATTTTAAAACCCAAACCTCATTTTCTTCTCATGTAATATAAAATCTGTTATGATTTAACTAACTACTAATGAACAATTAGTTTTAATTAACATTTTCAAACTAACCGTAACAGTTAAACACATGCTAACTTTCTTCTTAACTAGATTTTTTCAAGCATAATAACTAATGCTATATTTTCATTACTGGATTTTTATACTTTAGTTGCCTTGATTACAAAAGTTGAGAATGATATATTTTCATTACTGAGTTTTTATATTTCTATATCAATTTTTATAAGCATACTTACATCTGTTGGGTGCCAAAAAAGTAAACAACCACTTTCTTCCAATCAGTGGAGTAACCCCACTTCTCCGGCTCACTGACCTGCCAGAAGAATTGAACTTGAACGGTCAAATGAAGTATCAACAAACCAAGAAAATAAAAAATAATAACCACTTTCTTCCAATCAGGTTTTCCAGGGCTCAAACCCGGATCACCATATTTCTCCATCCCTACAAGTGTTTATTTGAGCAAAAAAAGTCAACTGTTAGAGGAAAAATCATCTCGGAATATTTCCAGTTCAACCATGATTACAGAGTTACAAACACACTTATGGTGCGTCAAATTGGAAGTTGAAGGATGAGATGGAAAAATATTAAAATTGAAGATATAAAAACTACATTAGGGAGTAAATCCGTGTTTTTCCACATAAAAAACTTAAGATTATTGACCTTCAGTTTAAGTATTACCTACCAATCATAGAGTTATCTATTCATCTTTAATTTCCCAGGAGGAGTTGGATAGTGATGGGAAACTCCAAGCAGGGGTCTCATCCTATTGTCACTATTTTCTGCCTTATCCATAAGGAACAAGAAGTTTCCTTCTCTAAATAAAATCCTCTTTGAATTTTAGTAGTAATTAGGAATGATTAACAGGAAAAAAGTGAAATTTATGAATAAGAAATTGAGTCTAAGACTACGATCCACAAAAATAACGAACAATTACAGACACACAAAGAATCAATAATTTTGAAGTCCACCAACATGCAAAACAGATGCAAGTTTTAAAAAAATAGAGAAAGACATAAACTTTAAACTTGGTATTCTAGTTCCACTTTCAAATTCCAACCAATTCATATAACAACTTTTTTTCTAACCAATGTCGTGTTACACTATAATTAACCAACTGTTCTAACAACTAATCCTAATTCTAACTGTTATGATTTAACTAACTACTAATTAACAATTAATTTTAATTAACATTTTCTAACTAACCGTACAAACATACTGCAAACAACTCTTACAAAGGAGAAGTAACACTGCCAAGTAAACAGAACCTCTGACTCAGGAGACAAATGAAGTTTTGTTAAAGTTGTGCATTTCATCAAACAGCTATAAGTCATACAAAAAAACCCTGATGCCAAACAAATCAATAGCTAAGAAATCCAAACTGTTAGGCAAATCATAACAAGTTCTGATTGGTGTCAGCCAAAAGATCTAACCATATGAAATATAATGAGGCATAGAGCAAAATAGAGCACATGCTTTTTTCAACAGGGTGGGTTTAATACATAAAAACGAACCTGTTTGTTAGTGTTCTCATTTCAATACAAACCATAATTCATTTCATATCATCATAGCATAACATAAGCATATCATAAACTATATACTAAAATTAAATTCCATATTTCCCCAATAACAACCACCACAATGAGTAGCATTAAGTTTTTAAAAGCTACAACCGTTACAGTACTAATATTAATACTATCACTCACAGCCACCGCTCATTCGTATCCACCGTCAGACAGGGTGGCGCTACTAGCCTTCAGAGCAGCTTTCCACGATCCCTACCTCAGCATCTTCAACTCATGGACCGACACCGATTGGGAGTCATGGTGGTCGGAAAGAGGTGAAGGAATGAGTAGCGGCGGCGGTAGGGTCCAATTTTCAAGCCCATATTCAAAGTAAACTCAAAATAAAAATTCTTCATTTATTTCTCAAACTCAATTTAAAATATCAAATAAATATCTTAAATAAAATAAAATAATTTAAAGGAAAATAATAATAAAACTAAAATACTTTTCATATTTATTAAATTTTGTTTCTACTAAAATACAAAATAAAATAAATTATTTTAACTAAATATAGGTGTTTCTACTATATATATATATATATATATATATATATATATATATATATATATATATATATATATATATATATATATATATATATATATATATATATATATATATATATATATATATATATATATATATATATATATATATATATATATATATATATATATATATATATATATATATATATATATATATATATATATATATATATATATATATATATATATATATATATATATATATATATATATATATATATATATATATATATATATATATAAGAGTAAAATTAATTTTTAGATTTAAATTTTCTTTATAAAATTTAATATTTTAACTAGAGATCAAAAATATAACTTCCTTTAGCACATTATAGTTAAAGTAGAGTTTCTAAAATTAAAATTTTATAATAATTAACAAGAGATTAAATATATTTTGTTATAACACAAAATGTATATTAAATCAATGAGATTAAATTTTAATTTAAAAATAATTCTAAAATATATCCTTAAAGTTAATGTATCAAAATGGAATAAGTGTTCTTTTTTTTTGGAAAAAATTAATACACAACACCTATTAATATTTTTAAAAAAAATATTTAAAATTTTCATTTTTTTAAAAGAAATATTTAAATATTTTAACAAAGTGTGGAGATTGTGTAGATCGGAGATTTTTCATTCGTGCATGGTTTTATGAAGCGACCTACTCCCGTGGTCTTGAAAATGTGCACTTTAACAACTTATATACCTAATCATATTCCACCTTTTAAAAAAATTAATTTTTTTGATTTTCACAACAATACAAAAAATATTAAATAAATAAATTTTCTTTGAAAAATATCTAAAAACCCAATTAATAAAGTAATTTTTTAAAAATATAAGATTTAATATAAGGGAAATGCTAACTGTTGAATATAATTCATTATGATTTGATATGATCAGATTTGATATCATATGATTAGATTTGATATCATATGATTAATTTGATATGATATGATTAGAGATCATATGATTAGATTTGATATCATATGATTAGATTTGATGTAGAATTCAAAGCAAGGCACCCTATTTATAGTTTTAGGTTTACAGTAGCCCAAAACATAAAAGGCCCAAAATATTCTATATCAAATCTAATCATATGATATCAAATCTAATCATAATATATCTAATCATATCATATTAAATTAATCATATGATATCAAATTTAATCATATGATATCAAATCTGATCATATCAAATCACAATGAATTATATTTAACACACCACCTAATTCATTGTGTCTAAACTGTCTACATTCATCATGGCCCTTAGTCTTCTGAAGGCTTCGACCTGCACTCCCTTCGTCATGATATCTGCAATCTGATTCTCAGTTCTGCAGTGTTCCAACTTCATCTTCCCTTCTGCTACCCGCTCTCGGAGATAATGGAACCTCATTTCGATGTGCTTGCTTCGACCATGAGCTATTGGATTCTTTGCCAAGTTGATAGCTGACATGCTGTTTATCTTCATGGTAATTGCTCCATGGTTCTTCCCTGTGATTTCTTCGACCAAGTTCACCATCCAAGTTGCTTGACATGCACAAAGGGAAGTAGCTATATATTCTGCTTCGCATGATGATAATGCCACCACTGGTTCCTTTCTCGAATTCCAAGCAACTGGTGCACCACCTAACATAAACACATATCCAGCTGTGGATTTTCGATCCTCAGCATCACTACACCAGCTGGAGTCTGTGTATCCCGCTAACTTGCTGTCAATTTTCTTATTCCAAGCTCTTGGAGCTTGCTTAAGTCCATACAGGGCTTTATGAAGCTTGTACACCTTTCTTTCTTCGCCTTGTTTCACAAACCCAGCTGGTTGTGCAACATAAACTTCTTCTTCTAAGGGGCCATTAAGGAATGCACACTTCACGTCCATCTGACATGTGTGTCAGTTGTTCATATTTGCTAGACCAGCAACCAACCTGATTATTTCGATTCTAGCAATAGGTGTGAATACTTCATCGAAGTCGATTCCTTCCTTCTGAAGAAATCCTTTCGCCACAAGTCTCGCTTTGTGTCGAGTTACTTCTCCTTTAGGATTTACCTTCACCTTGTAAACCCACCTCACATCAATTGCCTTCTTGCCTTGTGGCAATTCGACAAGTG